GCGGGCTCCCCTCCGAAGGCCTTTCTCGCGCCGATCCTCCACCACTACCGGCTGATGTGCCGGCAGTACGACAAACTCGCGATGCTGCACGGCCGGCTCGCCATCTTCAACGCGACCCGCCCGTCCGAGCGGAATCTCTTCGTGAACAAATCGCGAAAGATGCTCTCGTCGAACCTCGAGATGACCCCCGCCGCGGCGGATATGAAGGCGGACCGGCGCTCCCGCAAGCTTTTCAAGGCGGGCGAAGGAGGAGGAGGGGGGGGAATGCCGGACGATATCCTCTTCCCCGCGATGTTCACGGAGGTCCGCAGCGCGCGGCGGGGGGGCCACCACATCGTCCGCGTCTCCAGCCGCCTGGCCCGGCGGGGGGCGAAGGCGACCCCCCGCGCCCTCCTCGCCGAGGCCACCGGCCTCGCCCGGCAGGCCCTCCACGCGGCGGAGGGGCCGCTCGACGACGCCTTGGAGGACATGAGCCTCGGGAGCCGCGAGGGAAGTACCCCCAGCCGGAATAGCGACTCCGAGGGCGACGAAGACGAAGAAGAGGACGACGACGAACGCCCGGGACGGAAGAAAACGCGCGGGGAAAGGCAACCCACCACGGCGGAAATGCTCCCCACCCTCCCTTCCGACAGCGAGGAGGAGTTCACGGGGGATAGCGAGGAGGACGACTTGGACGAATCCGAAGTCGAAGAAGACAACGACGACGACGAGGAAGACGACGACGAGGAGGACGACGACGAAGAGGAGGACGAGGACGAGGACGAGGAGGATGAAATCCCCCCCGAGGCGCTCGAAACCTCCTCCGAGGGCGATGACGAGGAGGCCAATAGCGATGATGGAATGGGCGAACAGATGAGGGAACTCCTGCAGGAGACGCACCGGAAATCGGGCGGCGACAAGGACGATCAGGTAGAATTGCAAAAGGGAAAACGAGTTCGAACGGATTAATCCTCAACCCCTTTGAAGGGGGCGTTCATCGCATCCGATTACTCCATTGGGTGGGAGGGGATCGAACACAAAGGCCGCGTGACGTGGGAGGCTTCCCTGCTAAATAAAAAGGAGACCCCAAAAAGGGGGGACGGGACGATATAAGTGCTCTGGGTGTGAGTTAAAGTGGTAAATAACAATAAAATTAAAAAAAAAGACTTTGCCTGTTTCTTAATTACAAACTCCTTTTATTGCTCCCATGGAAATGTTTGGTGCGTATGGCAGGTATTTGATTTTGAAGCCAATAGTGTGTGGCCTTAATTCAACCTTTTTAAGAATAAATAGGAGCGCTTAAATCGAATAAATCATTCAAATAAATTACGGTTAATTAAAAGGCACGAAGGGTGTTTGAATACCAATAACGCCCTTCATCCCCTGTAGAAATATCGCAATTCATCCATTCCACTGGAATCGTCCTTCTTCCCACGGTCTACTTTGTCGTGATCTTTTAAACGCCCAAGGTAAAGGTATTTAGCTCGAAACTTTTAGAATAAGACCACAATTCCCATCAATTAGGGCGAAAAGCCAAGGGAATCCTTCACTTTTGTCGTTTTTTTTTTGGAATTTATTCCCTTTTTGAAGCGCCACCCCGTCTGAGGCGACTTTTCTCCACAGTTCTCGCCCATCTGTGGAGTCCACACGACGTCTTTGTGGAGTCGGTTACACGGAATAACCCCCCCCCGCTCCCTCCTCCCCTTATTTTAGGGCATAATTCTTGAATTGTGCGGGGTATTTGGTCCGGGGCGATGTTGTTTCGGACGCCGGTGGCCCGTCGCTGGTGGGTCTTCCCCGGCGGGGCGGCGCAGCCGATGTACCGGGTGTTGGAGTACCACTTCTGGAGCCTCACGCGGTACCGCCTGCTCCCG